GAAAAGGCAGACCCCTGTTTCTCGAGGAGTCCAAGACCCGGTGAGGAACACCCAGTGTGGACTTGGAAGCCCAGCTCTTCCCGTGTGACCCTTAATCTGCTGTGAGCTCAACCTGACCTTTTGATAGGGAAGAAGGCAAAAGACATGACCTTGAGATGGTAGACAAGCTATTTATTGGGGCCAAGGCATTGACAACCCATGTAGGGGGGGCGGGGGGTCCCCACAGCAGGAGGTCTGCCAGACAAGCGCACAGGAGCCACCAGAGGAGCAGAGCACAGGAAAACCCCCAGAAAAGGGAGAAGGGAGGGAGCTTGTGTGCCCTAAGCGATGTCGTCCTGCAGCAAGGTGGGAGTTGCTGGGTCAGGGAACTCAAAAGGCAGCAGCATTTTAGGTCCTTAAAAACCCGTTGCTGTCAAGTGGATTCTGACTCAGTGACCCCATAGGACAGGGTAGAACTGACCCCATAGGGTTTCCCGGGCTGTAAATCTTTATCTTACAAGACCCTAAAACAAGATTTTATCTCTCTGAGTCGGAATGGACTCGATGGCAACGGGTTTGGCTTTTTTTGGTTTAGGGCTAGTAGATGTTGGGTGCAGTTTCTTGGGGTGTGTAAAGCTGGCAGGCTCTAAGTGGCTACAGATCCGCTTCTTTGGGCTATTTTTGAAACAACTGCATGTGCACAAATTTGAGTTTGGTGCCAGCGGGCTTTTTGAGCGAATGGGCCTCAGCTTGCTATGAAGAAGTAAAGAACTTGGGGCCCGTACACAGAGACAATTTATGGCTGGTTTATGGAACAGGCTGGAAGCGTGAGCCCTGGGGCTGCCACTTAGATGGGAGGCCAGCAAGTGACCTGCTCTGAGCCCAGCTTCACCGTCCACAGAGCTGAGTGTGGAAGGCAGGCCCCCAGTCGAGGCCCGCCAAGCTCCTTACACACAGCGGGGGCCAATCGCCCGTCTCTGGTCCACGCCCAACAGGTGGTCCACAAGGCTGTGCTGCACCTTGAGGAGACGGGCGTGAAGGCAGCAGCTGCCCCCATGGGAGGCCTAAAGCTGATGGTCAGGATGGGCCGGCCTCGCAGCATCAAATTCAACCGGCCCTTCATCATCACCGTCTTCGACCACTTCACGTGGAGCAGCATTTTCCTGGGCAAGTTTGTGAGCCCGACCTGAGGGCACGCCTGCCTGAAGCGCCGGCACCATCTGACTTGGGGCTCTAGGGGCCCCACGGAAATGTTCTGGGGAGTGGGAGATGTCCCACATCTTCCCCAGCTTCTCTCCTCCATCTAACCAGGGTCGCTTCTACCTTTTAAACATGTTGTAATAAACCATTGTCCTTGCAGCTCTGACGGTCTGTGTGTGCTGGAAGAGGGAGGAATGGGCATTCTGGGGGGTGACACAATTAGGAAAAGGCATCTGGAAAGCAGGCGCCCTGGTGGCAAAGCGGTTCAGCGCTCAGCTGCTAACGGAAATGTCGGTGGTTCGAATCCACCATCCACTCTGCGGGAGAAAGATGTGGCAGTCTGCTTCCATAAACATTTACAGCCTTGGAAACCCTATTGGGCAGTTCTTCTCTGTCCTGTGGGGTGGCTGTGGACAGCAGCGGGGAGGTTATTTGGGAAGCCCCAGACTTGGAGCAGCAGCTCCTCCTGCCCACAAGCCTGTGTCCTGCTTCCCTGGCAGGTGTGGGTGGATGTGTCGCCCCAGATTTGGCATGAGCCAGTGCGACGGACGGGGTGTGGGAAAGAGCCA